CCTTTGTGTATGATGAGAAGAATCTGAAGAAGCATTTCAGCAGCTGCACTGAAAGACCAAACTTTCCCATCCATTTCGGAAGGTCAGTATTTTTCTGTACAAGGTACAATCCTGTAATCCTTTCTAGTGTCCTCACTCCTGCTTTGAGTTCATGGAAGCAAGTCGGTCCACAAATCACAAACATTTTGTACTTTTTAAGAGCACTTTCTTAATTTTTTTATTATAAAAAAAGAAAAAAACCCAACCAAAAACCCCCCCAAAAAACCAAACAAAAAAACCCCAACCATAAAGAGGAGGTCTTCATGGCCTTGGCAAGGGTTTATTGAGGATTGAGCAGTGCTAGGAGTGAAACTGGAGGTTTCTGCTATCATGCTTTGCCAATCTGAAAAATTCCACTGCCCAGTTTCCACTTCTTTCTGTATTTGTATAAAATGTTGTTATAATTTAAACAGGTTCCTGTCACCAATGGCATTTCTTAGTTGTTTTTTTTCTTACTAGTTTTCTAGCTCTAGTCAGAACACTGTCTTCTGGGCTGTGGCTCAAGTACAGCAATTGTGTTACAACTTTCAAAATGGTCCTTGAAGTGGTGGTGATGGATTACTGGTGTGTTGCAGAAATTCAGCTCTGGCCCTTTTAAACCGCACTCTCTTGCAAAACGCCAGGAAATGGGAAACTTTTGTTCCTGTAAACATTGTCCTAGCGTGAAGTTCTCCGTTCTGCACTGAGTTTCAGCTTTAACAGATAATCATTGCTTCAAACCAGAGGGCTTTTATTGAAGGAGATTGCTTGATAGAACCATGGTGACTTGCCAGCTCTGCGTTACTCTTCTCAGAAGAAACGCTGGCTGAAAGTCATTTGAGTTTGTGAAGCACAATGCGACATCAGATTGGTTTTCAACAAGCTTACAATGACTGCGCTCTCAGAGAAGGGTGCCCAAGTCTTTTTCTTGTACCTTTTGGGGATTTTTCAGCTACGAATCTACTTCATTCTTTCATAATTAAATCTGTTGTGTTGTGCTTTCAGTCTTCTGTTGAAGCAAGCCTTTGGTGGTAGAGAGATCTGTACTGGAAGGTGCCTTTGGGTTTTCTTCTGGATGTTTAGCCATGTTGGGATAGTCAGCAGTCTTTGAAAGCTGTTCAGTGTGGCTGTCTTACAGATTCAGATTTTTTAGACTGTGAGATCAAATCTGCAACGTAGTCTTAAATGGTTGAAGAACAATTTTGCTCCAGAGAACGGAGCAGTCACTGTCTGATGCTGGCCATCTCTTTGGTTAAAAGTCTGTCTGTGGTCTATTAAAATCCAGTTGGATTGTCAGGGTGAGCAATCACCAAATGTTTATCAGCCTGCTGTTATTGCCTGATAACACTCATTTCACCCAGAAGCTTGTTTAAAAGCTTAATTTATGTCCTATTATAGTTAAAAATGACACTTAATTTCAGCGAAGCTTGGCAGGCTTCTAGGTCAGTCAAAATTTATCATCTAGAGTAGGATCAACTAACACAGACTTCTGATCAGCTATTCTTGTGCCTTTAGTCAGGAGCTGAGCTGATTACTTTGAGCTCCTTATTATTTGAGGAATCCTTTGAATATTAAGCTGTGGAAATAATAAATGGATTTGATTGGTTTTGCTCAGTATCTGAATATATCTAAGGACTGAGCAGGGTCCCATCAAGACAACACGCTGTATTGGCTGGGAGGTCTTCTATCCAAATGTTCTCCCTAGAGTTACTGCTCGTGAGTGCCGTGTCGTAGAGTGAAGGAGTGGATGTGTTCATGGTGAGTCCTGGCATACATAGGTGCAGGTTTCTGGGCCATCAGTAGGAGTTGTTGCAATCATCGTTTGCCTTGGCAGAGCCATAATTGTGGCCAAGCTGATGGAGATGAGCTGGCCTGGGCTTTCAAAAGGGTTGTCCAGTAGAAGCCCTGATGTGGAAACGGAGCTGGGAAGACACTCAGACTGGTTCTGGAATGTATTTTGTACCGTGCTTGGTTTGAAACTTTGTGCTCCTGCTTGACCTTTTGTACTTTCTTTTAGCCCAAATTGGTTTGCTAGTAAAAGTAAAGCAAGCACTTGAAGAAACAGGCTTGCAAGGGTGGAAGGACTCGGCTCTCCCAGAGTAGACCTGTAAAGAGTGTTCTGCCTTGGTCACTGATGTTTTGTCTCATTTCCAAGTCTGAAAAAGCATAGTGTGGTCAGCATTCAGTGTGATGTGTTAGCAGGGTAACCACACTTCTACCCGAGTTACCTAGGAGACCAAGGCATGAGTTCAACAGCTTCGTCCAGTGCTTTTAGGAATTTCTGCAAGTAAATGCTGTTTCTTCGTGTAACCGTAGCTGTGACTCCTGGGAGCAGCAAACAAGATGAGTAACCCACTTCTCACCACTAAAGCTGGCTGAAGTTTGTAAGGCTGTTTTGATGTTGAACGTGTACCATTTTCTTGGCCTTTGTAGGAAGCTGTGGGCATGCCACATGGTGGAAGTTGATTTGAGTAACTTAAGAGAAAATGTCGCAGCTTTGGGCTCCGGAGCTTGGCACTTTGCTCAGTTTAGCTGTTTCCTCTCTTCTCTCAAACAACTCGGTAGCAGATCTGGGCAAGCATGTCCTATTTCCAATTTAACTTTAATCTAAAACCCATTTTAAAGCAGCCATATTACTTCTACTGACAAGTGATGTGGGAGAGAATAATCTTACATGAGTGCTGTTGCTGGGTTCTGTAAAATGGAAAAAAAATAAGGTTAGGGCTGTGCTGGTTGACATCAGCAAAGAGTCTGGCTTGGACAGCTGTATTAGAGGGAGAGGGAATTGCCCTTTTCCATGCTTGTAAAGACATCCTGTAAGGATGTGAATTGTAGCAGCACAGGGCAACCTTGTTTGAGATTAGACCTTGCTGGACAAGCTTGTTTGTAAAGAAATGCTGAGGAACTCACCTGGGTGTGTTCCTGTGCGATCGTCTCTAGATGATCCTGCTCTAGCAGGGGGTTGGACTGGGTCGTCAGAAGTCCCTTCTAACCCCAACCAGGCTGATCCTGTGAAATAGGCAGGACAGACACAGGGTGGGAGGAGATGATGTGGTGCAGTGAAATAGAGTTGTGTGTATTTGGCTGTACCTCTGTCAGTCAAGTTGCCAGAAGGTCTTCTGGGTCCCATCCAGTCCTAGCTGAAGGTGTCCCTAATATTGCACGTGGCTTTGGAGACCATCAGTTCCATGTTAAAGTGCTGATCAGGGTTACACTGATGCCTTTCTCCAGGAAAGGAGTGGGTGATCTGCTATGGGAAATACCAGGGCTTTTTGGCTTATGACAGTTCTTTCTTCCTTGCTTGGCTTAACCCTGAAAATGCATGTAAGGCTTGGAGTTATTAATTTAGGGAGGAAAAGGCTGAAATATTGTCCATTCCCACAGAGCTGGAAGGGAAAGGGAGCTCAGGACATGGGAGCAGCCTGACATTGAAGTCCCCAAAGCCTCCCTTAGTCTGGCAATTGGTCCCTTTGCCATCTACCAGGGAGTCCCCACTCCTTGGTCCTGCAGCCACCTCTCCTGGGCTGGCCCAAATGTTCATAGAGTCTCCTCAGGGAGCCGGTCAGGCTCAGATTGCCAATGTCCTAACCCCCCAGCAAGGCTAGAGCCAGCACAAGGAGGCAGAAACAAGCATCAGGCCAAGAAGAAAGAGGAGACTGGGCAGATCTCTGCTGGGTTTCAGTGGCAGAGGAACTAGAGCTGTGTGCTCTGATCCTGTATGATCCCTTGTTAGCCATGCGTGTCTTCACATGGTTTAATTTTCAGCTGGTGCAGTTGTTGTGACATCTGCTGTCACCGTAGTCCCCGGTTGGATCAGTGTCCTGATGGGGGATATTGGGGCACAGGGGCACTCCCCAGGATCTTGCTGTGCAAGAGGTGCACGGTGACAAACGAGTCGGGCAGGGTAATTGTGCCTCCTGTTGTTATAGGAGGTGAAGGCCAGTTCTGCTGAACAGAAGGTTCTTCTTCCTGTTAAGTTCATGCTGGTTGGCAGGAAGGAGATGATACCTAATTTTTTTTCCTCTTGAAAGTGTTAATTTAAACATCAACCTAAAGCAGCCAGTTGATGTGCTGGGTTTGGGGACAGCCAGGCCATAGATGTCTAAATGCTACTGTGTGAATGACAGAGTGAGGCTTCTCAAATCCCTCTTATTTTTATGCTGATTTTGAAGTGACTTTTAATCCTTCAGACATATAGGTCTCTAAGCACTTTTTACAAAGAGGAAAATAACCCAACTCGAGCAGTTTGGGTAATAATAGTACTTAGTGCTTAACGAACGTTGTGGAATTAATCCTCCTGGACCAATAAATTTAAATGAAATCGTGTTGATGTTGGCTGGGGAGCAGGGACGTGGTGTGAAATCGGCTTTCCTCTGGGCACGGAGGAGCTGCTCCCTCGCTGGCTCCACCACAGCCAGTGGAGATGGGACTGGTGAAACTGGTGAACCTGTGAAGTCTGGGTCCAAGCTGAGCCCTGCATTTGAGTTTTCTTCTTCCACTCACAACTGCACTGCAAGTCAGATATTCTCCAGGCTTGGTCAGGCCTGCTGAGGAGCAGTGGGAATGTGTCCCCTTGGTGCTAGGAAGGAGACTGCTTGATGCCAGGGAGATGCTTCTGGTTCCTTGGCCTGTGCTGGTCCTTGGGGTCACTGCAGATGTCCCACGGAGCTGGGCTAGACCTGTTAGTCTGCCATCCTGTTATATGGCAAAGTCTGATTCAAACAAGACTGAGCAATATAAAATAAATCTCCCATTAAGAGAAATAACTTCAAGTTGGCCAAAGTCCTTTGGGTGACTGTGGCCTCTGCTTTGATGTGCAGGCTCCCAGAATGAAATGGAGGGTGCTGTGGGTGGGCACTGGCATCTTGTTGGTAATGTCACCTTTGGGCTAGCAGGGAAGAGCAGCATCGAGACAGTGATGTTTAATAACTTTGTGTATCAATTATTGCAAGTTAGAATTGATGGTTATTTCTTGTTTTCAGGTTATAAACTTATTGGAAGCCATTCTGGGGTGAAGCTGTGCCGATGGACAAAGGTATGCTCTCTTTTCCTCTTATTTTATAATTATTTTTTTTAATGCTAGAGACTTATTCAGATATTAAAATTTCTAGATGAAATATCCTTTAAAAATATGATATGACTTGCACAAAAACCAAATTTCATCTTCCAAGCTGTAGTTTTGCATTTCAAGCTGTTAAAATCCCGCAGTGAAGAGCGAGAATGCGACCATGGCAAAGAGCTGGGAACATAATTGTCTGTTTTTTCCTGTTGTTCTGCTGTCTGCTAAAATATCTCCTGCCTACTGAAGTATGCGGTAGGAGCAGAACACTGCCGAGAGAAGTCGGATGGTTCCGTCACTGGTGTGAGGTCCTCTGACACAAAGATAACGCAGTCTGGTATCACCCCAGCGGGCACACAGGGGCATTTGAACCCGCTGTGGTGTTAAGGGTGTCTGTGGTTTGCACCATCAGTGCTCTTCCACTGATCTGCAGCGTTTGTCAAGTAAGATTTGGATATCAAGGTGGCTGTCACTTGTTAAGGCTAGGACATTGAAGTTATTCTTTGTGGGAGTGTGTGTCTATATATATGTGTGTGTTTTGTATGTACACATGTATGTGAACAAAGACATCCAGTGGTGTGGTGTAGACTGTGTAAACCAATAGCTTTAAATAGCTTGTTTTGCAGACTTAAAAATGTTCCCAGCAGAGGCACAGAGCCCTGTAGAGCAAACTTCAGCCCCTTCAGTACATTGGTTTTTGCTGTCCTTTGCTGGTCCCTGAGAAGCTCAGAAGTTGAAAGCCAGTCTGTAATGTTACATATCTGGGGAGTAACATTGATCTCACGTGCTAAAGGCTTCAGCATTTGCAGGGTGATCAACTATGGGAATCATCACCTTGTTAAAATGCCAGCACATCTCTAAGTCTTGCGCTGTGACAGTGATCAGTTCCTTGGTCTCTCAGCTCCCTTTTGCTGCATGAGTAACTTTGTTTATTTTTGAAAAGAGCTCTTTGAATGGCAATCACCAAAGTGGGTGGCTGCAGCGAGATTTTCTTATTGAAACGCCTGCTATCAATGAACAGTCTCATCAAAAGACTTCTGAAGAGTTTAAAAAGTCCACTGCTGTATTGTCATGAATATTTGTCAGACATACTGATCCCACTGATGCTTCTGCTGTTTACTCTTACAAATATTTCTCCTTTCTGTCATTCTTAGTGTCAGAGAAGGCCACGAAATGTTTAAAGGAAAACTTGTCAAACTCCATCAATGCTATGATAGAGAGAAAACCAGAGAACCTCTTTTTATTAAAGAGCTGGAATTTAATGCAGCACTGTAAAGTCATTTCACAAAATAAATAGCAGTTCTGTGTGCTTAGATAGGGCCATACTATTTTTAGCTTAAGCAGGAATTGAACGTAAAGCGCTCTAATAAATTGAGCTGAAATTGGTTACAGGCAGTGGCTTTGACTCAAATTCACACCAATGTGTGAATATCTTCAGGAAGCTTGTTTGAGATTTGTATCAGCCGAAAGCAGGAGCAGGGCTAGGAGGATTAGCATTAGGTAGAGTTTCATAGTGATATCTCTGATTGAAATGGTTGTGTTCTGTCATATTCTGGAAAAGAGCATAGGACCTGCAAATTTTAGGAAGAGTCTGTTGATTTGCCTGTCTTATGAAATCCAAAATATAACTTGTTTTCCTAGAGTGTGTGAATCTCCCAAAATCTCTGTTTGAGGAATGGGTAGAATAAACAGCACTTTCCATTTTGTTTTATATTCCAACTGTTAACAGCCCTGTGCATATGTTAGGAGTTGCCTGTATATTCTTTCCTGACTGCTCAGTGGAGACTTTTTCTTGGATCACCACGCAGAAGATGATTGATTAAAAGTTACTATGTCATATTTCACTTTTTTTTCTTGAAAGTAATAAAGTTTCTTTCTCATTTATTACTCTTTAACTGAGATAGTGGAAGATAGTCTTTGCTCCAAGCAGTTGCATGCTAAACAGGAGATAAATCCCAGTGGAAGGCTGCTGCGGTTCTGCTAGGAAGCAAAATGCAGCGTCCTGCTGGAGCTGCTGACTGGTGTGAATGAGGGTTTATAAGGTCAGGGTATTTATTTAATTTAGTGCTAGAAGAAATACTCTAGTAGACGAATGAAAAGAATTGAGTGTTCGGTAGGGCAGCCTTGAAATTGATCCTTGTTACTCTTTAGTGGGCTTTTACAATAATATTTCTTGCAGCTTAAGTGGCTTCACCTGCTTGCTTTTGTTGGCTGATTCAGTTAAAAGCTTTAGTAGAGCACATGGTTACGCTGTGGTGCCGTGAGTACAAAGTTATTGATTATGTTGAAGTTTCCTCTAAAACAGTTGTAAATTTGACATTATAATGCCTTGTTTCTGTAAGGATGTAGATAAGCCATCAGTCTGTATACTGATCTGCATGCTAGGAATTGCTTTCTGCATCTGTTGTTATTCAGAGCCGCTCTGTGGCCGTGATATTTGCAATGTCAGTCACAGGTGTCTTTAAGCACCAGAGCTACCGGTGACTGGAAACTGCCGATATCCCCAAGGGCAGATTGCAAACCTTTGCACTCAGTTTGGTTGCACTTGCAGTGTTTTAACGCTCTTGATATTTGTTTGTGTCTCTCTGCTTTTAGTCCATGCTTCGAGGCCGAGGAGGCTGCTACAAACACACATTTTATGGAATCGAGAGCCACCGCTGCATGGAGGCCACACCGAGCCTGGCTTGTGCAAACAAATGTGTCTTTTGCTGGAGGTAAAATACTGATGGAGTTTTACTTTAGGATGGGGGCTCTGTTTCACTTTCTCTGCCCTGTTCCTCAAACCTAAAAGCACGTTACCAGTGTGCCTTTTTCACTTGGAAACTAGGGGAGGAAGTGTTTGGAAGGAAGCAGTGTTGCTCCCCCTTCCTACCTATTACTCCTCCCCTTCTGAGAGCTGTGGGTCAGGGTTGGCAGGGGCTGAGCAGAGGGTGAAGAGGATCTGAGGGTTCCCCAGTGCCACCTCCCCTAGAACTGGCTCCTGTGCAGCCAGATCTTGGGCCCCAACACATTCACACTAGCTGGGGACCTGTGGCAGGAGAAATTGGGGAGGTAGGAGACAGACACCTCTGTATTTACTGCCCTGCAGTTCGCACTGCCATCTTCTCCAAGCTCTTCATAGAGGTTTGGTTCCCTCTGGCCATCACTGAGGCTTGCCACGGCTCCTGGTGCTCTGGAGAATGTGGGCTGGCTCACAAAGATGATCGAGGACTGGGGCATCTCTCCTGTGAGGACCAGCTGAGAGAGTTGGGGCTGTGCAGGCTGGAGAAGAGAAGGCTCTGGGGACACCTTATTGCGGCCTTCCAGTTCCTGAAGGGGTCCTACAAAGAAGTTAGGGAGGGACTTTTTACCAGGGCAGGTAGTGATAGGATGAGAGGGAATGGTTTTAAACTGGAAGAGGGTAGATTCAGACTAGATACTAGGAAGAAATTTTTTACTGTGAGGCCCTGGCCCAGGTTGCCCAGAGAAACTGTGTGCCCCATCCCTGGCAATGCCCAAGGCCAGGTTGGACGGGGCTTTGAGCAGCCTGGGCTGGTGGGAGGTGTCCCTGCCCATGGGATGCCCAGATGATCTTTAAGGTCCCTTCCAGCCCAAACTATTCTGTAATTCTACGATTCTATATTGTGTAAAGCCACCAAGGCACTTTCAAATTGGACCACTTTTCTTGTGGTACCTTCACCCCCACCAATTCAATTGCATTCTCAGTGGTGACTTAGTAACCACTGCCTTCTAAAACAGTAGCTAATTAATGACTTTCCATTTTAGTCAGTAAAGTGACTCCTTTTCTCAGGAATTACTTTGTTGTTAATTCTCTAAAGGAAATGATCTTTGCCTGGATCTGAGCTGTGAGCTGCTCCAGCGCTGCTTGCTCACTGAAATGCTTGGATCTTTGCAGAATGGGATCGAGGAGAGAGACTGAGAGGCTCAGCCAAAATACAAAAAGGAGTGACATGAAAGTGTACTGAGTGGGAGGGCACGGAGGGGTTTTTTTGAGCTCTTTTGTCTTGTACCTTGCCTGCTAATTCAGACCATGGGGGCTGTGTTTCCTTTGTTATTTATGCCTGCCCTGAGGGCTGGCTGCCAGTAACACCCATTCTGTCCCTAAGTCTGGCTGTCCACCGTCCCAGTATTCCCATGCCTAACCAGCCAAATTCCTCTGAGTACTGTTTTGTCTTTCATAGTCTTCAAGTTTTAATAATGCAAATATTTAATGAGAATATTTAAAGGACAGCATCAGTGCAAAAGGACTGCTGTAATTTTGGAGGCACTTTGAGACTGTCTCCCATGTTGGTGCTGAGTGTTAGACACTGGTCATCCTGTTAACTTTGCATTTGGGAGCCTATACTAAAATGTTAATTGATGCTCTTGATGGGCTTTCCTCGTATCCCGGCTTGAAAGGACACAGCAAATGGCAAGTTTAATGTGCAAGTTTTGCTGCTTTTCATCCGAACAATCTAATGACTGGAAAGAAAAATGTACTGCTCCTTCCTTTTTTCCAGTGTGTTGGCTAGCAATGGTGCATTTAATTCTGCAGTGGTGACTGTACTGGTAGGAAGAAGATTGCCATGTGTATTATCTCTACACAGAAGGTACATAAACACCAAATAGAAAGCAATAACATTGCCACAATGAGGTGTTTTGTTCCTAGTATTGCACTGCAGACCATTTAACAATGTTCCCCTTCAAAATGACCCCACTCGGTATTTCTTAGCAGCAGTATCCTTCGTCTGGAGTATGGGACTGAATCGGGGGAGTTAAATGAGTGTAAATTGAAAAGTGCAGTAGTTGGGATAATTGCCATGTGTGATACCTTCCATGTGCCTCTAACTCATCATCCCGTATCTGTCATTTGTCACTTTTAAGGGGAATCCTAGAAACAGTAGCCTTAATGATAACAAATGCTAAAATGGGTATTTTACTAATGGTAACAATCTGAATGCAAGGAAACGGCTTTTCAGGGGACTGTGCTGAAAAATGTTCTCATTTATTTACCTTCTGTGGGGCCTTTTCCATCGGGACCGCAGCTGCCTGCTCCTCTCGGGTCTCTGCTGGGTTGAAAGACTTTAAGCTTGGTTGGAGACTTATCCCAGGTCTCACTTTATGGACACCTTAAGCTTGACATAGAGCAGAACTGAAAGAAGCTTCCCCTGCTTTGGTTTCTTTTTCAGAGCCCATGCTTGGTCTGCCACAGCCTTTGTGTGGCTGCGAGCTGTGCCAGGTCAGGTTAATTTGGTGTAGGAAGAGGAGACTTTCATCCCTGCTCTCCTCCCTGCCAGTTGCATGTCAGCACAGTTCACAAACCCTGCAGCCAGGACTGCACGTTATATATATGTATGTATATAGGTGTGTGGGTGTGTGTGTTTGTGTGTGTGCGTGTGTGTATATGTGGGTGTGGGGGTGTGTGTGTGTGTGTATATATTTGGGTATATATGTGGGGGGGTGTGTGTGTGTATGGCGGTGTGTGTATGTACGTGGGGTTGTGTGTATATATTTGTGTGTATATGTGGGGGTGTGTGTGTATATATACACACACATGTGGGTGCGTGTGTGTACGTACGTGTGTGTGCGCACGTGTGTACACGTGTGTATATGTATAAATAACTTTAAACCCACCATGTCTTGGAGATTCTTACACATGTGACACTAAATGTGGAATCACCGGCACTGGTGGCTGGGTAGGGTAAGTATGTTACCTTCTGATCAGCAGGTACCATCTGTGCTGTTGGAGGTGTATGAAGCAATAGTTTTGATCTACTGTTGGCAGAATGTTTTCAATACAGGTTTTAGTCTCATTGTGCAACTCTGTGCACTAAGCAGCAGATAAGACCACTATGAATCTTTTTTCTTGATCTCTTCTTTCAGGATTTTGATATATAGAGAGTTTGCCAGTGTTCCCTACTGCATAACCACTGCAGCTCTCTCAGGAAAGGGCCAAGGAGGCTGTTTGTGTTCTCTTCCTCATTTTGGCAAGAAATGTTGTAGTTCAGCCCTTTCCCTGGGAATTGGATGTCATTGTAGTTGGCGGTCGTGACTGACACATTTTGGCCCTGATCCAGGAATCATGGGTGGAGCCAGCATCCAAACACGCTCAAAGTTAGGTTTTTTTGTAAAAGATGTAGCTTGACTCTGCACTGGAGACATTCCTTGTCCCTGGTAGAGATCAAACCTGCCAGTGCTCCCTAACTGCTGTGCCTGCTGGCTCCTGCTTCCCTGCCTCTCCCTTTTGGAGGGTTTGGTGATGTGGGTTTATGCTGTGGCAGCTTCTCTGGAGGGCAGGAAAAGCAGAACGTGCATTTTCATGGTGCTCCCCCCGCAAGGCAGTGATCGTGCTGTGCCGAGCTCCTGAGGCTGTTGCATCAAGAGCAAGGGGTGTAAAAAGAAAAAAAGCAACACCTTACTTACTGCAGCATCCCCAAGTCATAATTTTCCCTCCAAACATAGCCTGTCACTCTCCATGATTGCTCTCAGCTGGACTCGCTGTGTTTGTAGTGTCTCTTTAGCTTAATTGTCTAAATGGCAATGTGTAAGTGACCAAATCCTTTAATGAATTAGAGCGAGTGTGGAGACTGAGGCTTTCTGACACTGAGTATTGCGGCACAATCACCAGGCAAACCTGATTTGATTATGTTTTCTGGCAGAGTGTCTAAAGCCCAATCAATTATTGTGGAGAGATGGAACAGCTAAATAAGATTTAAATTAATAGGGTTTATTATTTTTGCATCTGAGGAGGAGGCACACCAGACAGAGTGAAATATCCCATAGAGAAATTGGTTCATATTTCTTCTTCTGTAACTTTGATGTTTATAGTTGTACGTGAAGGTTTAGTTTTAACTTGTAGGGTAGACAACAACTGGAGTTCTGTTCAGACAATCTCAATGTGTGGCCAAAAGCCCTGCAAAATGAGGAGATTAATAATCTCCCATAGGAGAGGTACTTAAGGCCTTTAAAAATTAGGAAGAAACTGAAAACACAGATTAAAACAAAAGCTTCTTCTTATGAAGTAACTTGACTCCAGAGGCTAAATTCTTCAGGGAAATGTGAAATATTATGGTATCAAAGGGGTCGACACTGCAGGTCTGTTAAACCTAGAACCTGAGTCTGAAAGCTCAAAGTCTCTCTGCATCTCCAGTCTCCCATCCCTGTTCTGCTAAATTAATACTCTTGTAGTGCTTCACTTTGGTTATTTTTTGTTTAGAAAATTAATATATTGGGACACAAGGTTCATTGTTTTCTTTAGATTTGATGCTTCACTGGTTTGTTGTCCTTTGGGTCTGTCAGTCTTCCAGGAGCTCTTGAAATAACCAAATAAATGGGGTAGGGTACAGGGCATCGCAGAATATACCTTGTTTGTGGCCCAGTCAGTGTTAAAAAATGCATATAATTTAAAAAATCTTGGTGCATTTATGTGCTGCTCTGCCAGCACTGTAATAATCTGAGGCATTTTGAGGAGTGTTAGTGTGGTCCATCAGGTTAGATGGGAGCAGACCCTGGGGACTCCTCCCAGGAGCGTTGGCACTTTGTGAAGGCGCTGGCAGTGCTGCTGGCACTTGGTATTTGTGAGAGATGGGGTCGCATCAGCTGGGAGGCTCTCAATGCGAGTTAGACGCTGTTTTACCAAATCAGGCAAGGAGGCGTGGGGGTAAGGTCACTGTAAATGCGCTTTGTCCCCACAGTAATACCTGCCATGTGAGAATGGGCAGTATTTTCATTCCTG